CTTATTAAGCCGAAATAATAAGGTTTGCTGATATGATTTCTTTAGGGTGTTTTCAAACGTCGCCCTAATTTTACATACTAACGCCCCATTTTATAACTTAAAGTCTTAAATGGACCACTTTGCCCCCCCCTTATCTCCTTCTCACTCTCTTTCGGCCATCCTTCTAAATTCTCCATTAAAGGTGGCTTATGAGCTTTCAATCTTTCATCCATTGAGCACATTATCATTCTAATTAATACAGTAATACACTATACATAATTCCCAAAGTATCACAACGATCAATATGACAAAATTAACACATAACATAGGAGTATTCTCGCATTATATGATTGAAATTTGGACCTCTAGAAAGTAGAAATCCTTAATTAACAAAAAAAAAATTAGGAGTTTAAAGTTTGTTCCAAATGTTGCAGCTGGAAATTCTTGTTCCCATTGAACCATTTGTAAGAATTGGCGGCAGAGAAGCTAGGTGGGGTGCGAACTGCAAAAGAATTTTTTATGGTGGCCGAAAAACGCCCAAAATTTTCGATACCCTAAGGTGGAAACGCCTAGATATTTCGTAACTTGCAGATGGGAACGAAAAACAGGTGTTTTCACCCGCGAGTTACGATATATTTAGACGTTTCTTAATTTTTTTTTTAATATAAAACAACTTCCGAAGCCTCTGATGGTGGTGGTGGTCCCGGTGGTTGTTGGTTTTAGTGGTGGTGGTTGATGAGGAGATAGTGATGGGGATGGGGTTAGTGGTTGGTGGGGAGATGGTAGTGCTTCAATGGTGGAGTCCATGGAGAAAGTCAGAATCTGCTTCATCGAAGGAAAAAGCTCATAAGTCCACTTTAATGGAGGATGCTTCAATGGATGAGAAAGCTCATAAGTTGCTTCAATGGAGGAGAAAGCTCATAAGCCACTTTCAAGTTTCAATGGAGAATTAAGAGTTGCAATGAAAATGAGAGTGAAAACGAGAGGGGCAAAATGGTCTGATCAAATTAAAATGCAGGCGTTAGTATGTAAAAAGAAGGTGACGTTTAGCATTTCACTTTCTTTAATAGGATGCAGGGGGCCATGTTAGATTGAAAAATTTGTAAACTATATTGAAGTGCATCACACATCATTAAGTCCCAAAAATAGTAATTTAACATATGAGATTGTATAATTCCACTATCTTTAATTATATGACTATGAAATATCTTCAATTGCACTAGCTTTGCAGCTTTGTTGGCTCGCTTGGAAAGAGAAGTGTTTTAAAAATTACTAGTTTTAAAGTTTTAAGAAAAGAATATAGAGGGATTAGGGTTAAACTACTTGGTTCAATCAAGCAAACAAACTACATAAATACATAAAGAAATAACTTTAATTATATCGATTAGTGGTTGAGATGACTCGTCCAAATAATAAGATGTTTAAATGAAACTATTAATTAATGGAATATTAAAGGTGAATATGTAAATAATTGTGTAACCGTTTCTACTTTTATTATAAATTGGAGCGTCAATGTGTTAATTATTCAAGTTGAACAACCAATATTCATTCATCTACGTCAATAATAACATATCAAAAATGAAGAGCTAAAATAATAAGAATAGAATTATCTCGATCTATAAACTATCGTTGTTTCATATTATGTGTAACATTTACCAAAAAATTGTTTTTATACATTATGTGCAACAAATTCTTTTCTTTCCTTTTTAAGTTGTCATTTCTCTTTTATCTTTCTTTTCATCACATGCATCATTATCTCTCGCTCTCTCCATTCAACACTTACAAATAAATTTTGCCTAAAAATCCATGCAAACTCATTTGTTGCATATAATATGAAACAGAAATAGTATGACAATTCCTATTTTGTAGCCCACATGTCCATGTTGCAAACCTAACCATGTAATTCCCCTATTTTACTCATCGTGTAAATCTAACCATTAAAATATAATTCAATAAATTCAACTACTTTTAGATGAAATAGGAGACGATTCATATCCATTAAGATAATGTATGCTCTACAATTGAGAGTCTCTCTCACTAGAAGTGAGTTTTCGTTTAGTTGCACTAGGGTTTGCCTGTTCATCTTCTTCTCAATCCGCATGCAAATTCTGCTGCTTTCCTTTTTAGGCTGCCTATGTGGGAGGTTTATCTCCAAGTTTCTTGTGTGTGTGGATTAATTATCTTTCTTTTTCAACATCCAAGAGGATCATCCCCTTGGGCTTAACTCTTTGCCTCATTTCCCAGAAAAGTTATCAACCTTTTTTTTAACTTTTGGCTATTCCAATAACGCTGTTCTAGATCCTCTCGTTTTCCCAGCAAATCATCTTAGAGTAGTAAATGCTCATCCTCTAATGGTGCAGTTCATTTATTTCTAGAGTCGGCTACCCTTTTAAGAGCCTATTTCTCTTCAGTTCCTTGCTTCCCATGCGTGGAACTTTCCACATTCCAAGAACTCAAGTTGGCTTATAAAAGAGACGATTTGCTATCCCAGTTTTTCAACTTCTCCCCTATCTTTTTTCTTCGTTATTCCTGTCTTTTCAAAGTTATTCTCTAAGTCCTTTTCTTTCCCATATTCCTTTCTTCTTCAGTCAGTTTTCTTAACTCTGATTCGTTATATCATGAGCACTAACAGAAACTCACCAAACCCTCATAATGATCACCAATTTAGGAATATGCGAGGGGGACCTCTTATTCCTCCTCCTGAGAATTTCGATCTCAGGAATGTCACTATAAATTTCAATTCCTGTGTTATTGGTTTGTTCATTGGTCCTCACCCTCCTTCCGAACACTTTGTTCAACACATTGTAACTTCTCGGTGGAAAAGAAGGGGAGAAATAAGGGTTCATAGGTCGGGTCCGTACTTTTTATTCGAGTGCTTGAACAACCAGGATCTAGAGAATTTGGTTCTTGCAAATACAACTATTATTGATGGTAGGATAATTAACTTCAAGAGGTATCAAATAGACTTTGTACCTCAACATATGAACTTTAAGCTCACACGAGTGTGGGTAAGGGTTTATGGTTTACCCCTAGCCTATCTTACTTCCAGTTGGGCTAGACAAATTTTAAGGCACGTGGGTTACATTGAGGAATTGGAGCACGAAGGAGAGGAGCTTCCAATTCATGCTGAGCTGAGAGCTCGGGTTCTGATTGATCTTTCCATTCCCCTAATACCGGGGTGTTTTATTTCTTTGGAAGGAAATAAAGTAATTTGGGTGTACCTTAGGTATGAAGGTATCTTCAAGTTCTGTAAATCATGTGGTTGTGCAGGGCATGCCACATCTCGATACTCACTCCATGCAGTGGTCGCAAGGAGGAGGGTAAGACGTAGGCTGAATGAGGTTGAAGCAAATGGTTTGCGAGTGCTTTATGGACCGTAGTAGTATCCATTCTACTCGAATCTTATCTGTGGGCTTCCGGACTGGTACAGGTTTCGCAATACGGGGCTTGATCTCCGGCCAAACGAAAACCCAAAGGAGCCTGCTCCGTATAGGAGAGGTCAAAGGGTGGAGAGAGGCTTTGAAGAAGGTCATCCCTATGAAGACTCATTTTCAACTCAAGATAGTGATGAGAGTGAGCAATTTCACTCTGGAATGGATGATTGGTCAAATGAAGACTCGGAGCTAATTGAACGAGAAATGGAACCTGTTGGGCCGGATCTTGCTTTGTCTTTGGGTCGTTTTTTGGGTCTTAGTGGTGATCCATACGCAGAATTTACTCAACAGAGAGTTTCTCATCTATCTCCGATGGTGAATCAAGAGGAGCACAAAAGTGTAGGTGGGGAGGTGTACAGGAAAAATGTTGATCAGTTAGGGGTTTCACGAAGGGAAGGCGTTGTAACTTCAAGCATGGCTGTTGGTGTTAGGGTTTCGGAACTCTAGAGGAGGAGCAGCTAGGGCCTCTCCCGACGAGGCTATTCTTTGGGGGTTCAACGTTTGAAGTGGGCGAGCCATCATCAGCAAGACAGGAGCATAGACAAAGGGGGGGGCCTGGAACGTTGTTCCACACACTGGGGATTTCAGAATGGGCTTCGTCCCCCATAAGTTTTGAAAGAAATCAGGAGGTGTGTTATGGACAAGGGGGAGTTTGGGCTTCGACAATGTTTTCTTCTTGGGCTAGTCATGCTCATGGTTGGCTTGAGAGTCCCTCGATAATGGTTACGAGAAGAGTAGAGGAAGTTGAGCAACAAGTTGATGATGAGTATGAGAAAATCATCGAAGCAAGCACAATCTTGTCTTTGGGAATCCAGAATGCTAGGAGACTGGAGATCCAAGAATTGCGTGGCAATGCAAGAGCTTCATCGGCGCCTTTTCTACGGTTGTCAACGGCGGACTTAGCAAGGCTGCCGAATCTTCCCCTCACGGAGTTTGATCCCCCTAATACGTCGGTATCTCACTTTAGCTCTTTTAATTTTACAGAGTTGTTTAACTATAATGATAGTGCAAACACCAAGAAAAGAAATCGAGAGGCAGTTGGTCACAAGCCGCATTCATGTGATGGAGATTCGGTTAGGTACAGTGAATAGGATTATGAGTGGGTGGAAAGAAAGAGGCTCAAAAGGTTGCATAGGTGGTGCGAAAAGGGAGGATTTTCGATCTGGCTAAGAGATGAGAAAGGAGGGTGTAGGTTCGCTTCGAAGGCAATTTCGGATCCTGACATGGCAAGAGAGTTCGGGGTAGACATAGATGGAGATCTGCGTATGAGGGGTAGAAACAAAAGGCCCCAAGAACTTTCTTCTTCTTCTTCTAAGGCTTCTAAAAGGCAGAAAAGCGAAGAAGTGACTTCGACTTTGAGGGATGTCAGGGATGATATGGATATTGATCTGCAATTATCTATTTTTGACTCGATTAAGCTTAAAACGGAGGGTGAGGAGGCTGCTCTTATCCAGCCCCCAAAGGTTTATGAATGTAGTGGCTTGGAATTGCAGGGGCCTTAATGACCCACACACCCTTGCAATTCCTTATCTTGTGTGGCTTTATCGTACAAAATTGCCTAATTTTTTATTTGTATCGGAAACAAAAATGGATGTTGATTCGGCTTCTACTAGGTTAGGTATCTTAGGCCCTACTACCACTTTTGGGTGGAATTCGGATGGTAGTAGTGGTGGTCTATTAGTTTTAGTATGGTCTAATGAAGTTGTTGATTGCTTGTTCTCTTCTAAAAACTTTATCTTGTGTAAGATGAATGAATATAATGGTATTTTGAAGTATATCTTGTTTGTTTATGGTGAACCTCAAGTTGAAAATAGAAGGATAGTATGGGAACAATTGCAATGGTTTTTAGAGGAGTTTAAAAATGTTCTTGTAATAGGAGATTTTAACCAAGTTGAAAGTGGAAGCAACAATCTGGGGGGTTCAACTAGAATTAGAGGCATGGAGGCCTTCCTGGATTGGAGGTTTAGTAGCAATGTGACAGAAGTTCCTTTCTCGGGTCTGAGGTTTACCTGGAGCAATAAAAGGGAGGGTGACGAGTTGATTCTAGAAAGGCTGGATCGGGCCTATGTAACAGAGGAATGGTTTGATCACTCTCCGGATGGGAAAATTATTCATGAACCAATAGTGTGTTCCGATCACGCGGCTATCACTTATCTTGGTCAACCTACAGAAATGGTCTCTAATAGACCTTATCAGATCGAGAATTGGTGTCTTCTGTTCCCTGAAATCAAGGAACTAGTGGGGCAAACGTGGAAGGAGGAGTTTCCAGGGTCTCCAATGTTCCAGCTCTCAAGGAAGTTAGAAAGGCTAAGGTCTAAGCTCCAATACTGGTGTTTGGAACATAAGCAAGTTTGGGGGATAAACTGGAGGAAGCTTACAAAGGATCTTAGAAACTCTGGGATGAAAATCACCTCAATTCAGGAAGGAGAAGGGAATATTCGGCAGATAAACCACCTTATCCCGGAAAGTCAACTGAGTTTTAGTTTTTGGAATCAAAGAATGAAAACAAACTGGATCAAAGGTGGGGATTGTCCGACGCCAACTATGTACAGGAGAGTAAAGCAAAGGCAGTCACATAATGTAATCCTAACTTTAAGAAATGAGGAGGAAGCATGGGTGGAGGGTCAGGGTGAGGTGGAAGAGGTAATTTTATCTTCAATCAAGAATATCTATAATCCAGTATTGCCTGAGAATCATGGGGAATACATTGATCTTCTTCTTTGACAGCTTGATATTCCCATTCTCTCGGAAGAGGATAGAACTTGGCTTGATAGGGATTTCTCGGAGGGTGAGATTAAAAAAATCGATGTTTGATATGCATGGCTCGAAGTCGCCTGGGCCGGATGGGTTTACGCTTGATTTTTTTAAAACTTACTGGAATGAGGTAGGGCGCCTGGTAGTAGATAGCGTAATGCAATTTCTGAAGACAGGAAATATGCTCAAATAATGGAATCAATCTCTTCTGGTGTTTATTCCTAAGGTTAAGGTTCCGAAACTTGCGAGCCATTTCAGACCCATTAGCCTATGCAATACTGTGTATAAATGCATTTCCAAGTGTTTGGCAAACAGGTTAAAGATAGTTCTGCCAGGGCTTATTACGGAAAACCAGCATGCCTTCATCCCTGGTAGGTATATGGAAGACAATATCCTTTTAAGTCATGAGCTGATGCATCTAATAAACTCGAAGAAAAGGTCTAATTTTACAGCGGTAAAGATCGATATGTCTAAGGCATATGATAGAGTGGATTGGCTTTTTCTCCTGAAGGTATTACAAAGTCAGGGCTTCTCTAGCCACTAGATAAGGATGATCTCACAGTGCATATCGACGGTTAGTTTCAAGGCAATTATAAACAGGAAAACGACTGAACATTTTGCCCCTAAGTGTGGGCTGAGACAAGGGGACCCGCTATCACCGTATCTTTTCATTCAGTGCATGGATATCCTGTCAAGAATGTTGAGCTTGGCTGAGGATATCAAGCAAATCCAAGGTCTAAAGGTACCCCGAAGGTCCCCTTCCATCTCTCATCTGTTATTTGCAGATGATGTCATGCTTTTCTTCAAGGAAAATAAGGAGTCATGTATGGGTATCTCAGATATACTTTATAGGTTTGGTAAAGCCTCTGGCCAGCAGCTTAACCTTCAAAAATCAGTCATTAAGTTATCGCCGGAGGTTGATACGGAGATAAAAATGAGTATGAAACATATTCTTTCGATGCCGGAAACAGCTAACATGGGGATTCATCTGGGGGCTCCGATTGACATCCAAGGGAAAAAGAGTTCATACTTCCAATTCTTGGTGGATAATGTTTCGGAGAAAATTATGGCATGGGCTTCTTTAAGGCTTTCTTAACCGACAAAAATGATTCTTATCAATACGGTGTTGGTAAGTATGTCGGCACATGTTATAAAATGCCTGAAACTCCCTCAGAGTGTTGCAAGCAAGATTGATGCTTTGACTACTCGTTTCTTGTGGGCGGGAAAATGGGCTAAAGGGATACATTGGGTGAGTAGAAGTATCATCCAACTTCCTAAGAGTATGGGAGGCTTGGGAATTAGAGGTAGTTAAATGACCAATGATGCTCTACTTTTCAAGCAAGCAACAAGGATGCACCTTAATCCTCAGTTTTTACTCTCAAGAGTGCACAAGAGTTTCCATCCATGTGGCATTGGTGGAATCACTGGTCAGTTGTTTAGAAGAAGGAACTCGTCTCTAGGAAGAGTAAGTCTTCAGAAGGCCATCCAAGCTTTTAGGAAAGGTTTTGCTTGGAAGGTGGGAAATGGTAATAATATCAAGGCTATCAGTATGCCATGGGTTGATGGTAACATTCCAATAGTGAATTCAAGCCAAACCCTTAGAGTTGCGGCAAATTGGGAAGTGAAGGATTTCATCAACAGGGAGAATAACACCTGGAATGGAGGCAGAATAAGGGAGTGTTTCGACTGGGAAAGTGCAAAAAGAATTCTGTCAATGGAGCTCCCTCGGTCTTTGGAGGAGGATGACTTCCTTTACTGGAAATATCATCCATTAGGGAGGTATACAATTAAAACTGGTTACTATTATCTTTCAAAGGAAGAGGAGGTAGAGAGATCAGAATTCTTGGAAAGGGATCAAGAATTTGTGAAGCTAGCATGGAGAATGATCATTCAACCTAAATGGAAGGTTTTCCTTTGGAAGCTTTTTCATGATGGTATTGCGGTTAAGCTTAACCTGGTTAGAAGGGGAATAAGAGTAGAGGTTGTCTGTGCCCATTGTGGGGTAGAACTGGAAGATAGCCAACACCTCTTCAGATTCTGTATTCTGGCAAATGAAGTTTGGGAGAACAGCCCCCTAACTATTTTCCCTGACTCTACTGGATTCAACTCTTTGAAAGGATGGAACCAGCACTATATCCTGCTTTTTAACAGCGAGGATGGCAAGAACAACAAACGATGCGCTTTCTTCATTGCAACATTATGGGGGCTATGGAAAACTAGAAACGCAAGATGCTTCAAAGATACAACGGGATCGATAAGTGTAGTAAAGGAATTCACTGATCTGGCCATGGAAGATCATGACGCGTATACACATAAGACAAGACCAATACATGAGTTGGGGGCCACTGAAACGGATGATCCGGTCATTCCCCCAGGGTTTAACTATGTACATCTGGGAAAGGAACACAACGGTTTCGATAAGTTCATTGTGGAAGTCGATGGCTCCTGGGATAAAAACACGAGGAGAGCAGGGATAGGATGGGCTGTTAAAGAGAATCTCAACCGTTTTGACCTCGATAGAGGAGGAAAACATGGAGCAACAACGTCTGTTCTACAATGTGAAGCCTGAGCTTGCCTGGAAGCTATGATGGGGGCTCGTGAGAAAGGGATACAAGGCATTCTTATTCTATCTGACTCCATGGGTCTCCTGGACAACTTGCAGGATAAATCTGGTAAGGATATCTCGATTGTATGGTTATTAAAGGAGATTAGGAAAATAGGGGCCTCGTTTCAAAGGTGCACAATCTTAAAAGGCCAGCGAGATCAGGTAGGAAAGGCTAATGACATAGCTAGGAGCTGCCGGTTTAACCTTGTTAACTTGTTGTAGGTTTCGTTTTATGGTTTTCATCATTTGCTATTGTCAAAAAAAAAAAAAAAAAAAAAAGATAATGTATGCAACAATTCTAGATTGACAAAGTAAATTATTATGTCAAGTAGTTAATAATAACTTCCTTCATTATCTTTTAATTGCAGCATGACGTAACATGTTTTATTTTACATTTTTTATTGTTACAACTCATATAATAGAAGAATTCTTCAAGACACCATAATTTATAAATACTTGTTAAACATCATCACATAGTAACTTAATATTAAGCATTATTCAAAATTAACAAATTAATCAATCATATTGATATTCAAGATTATAATAAATAATGATAATCTATGAAACCCAATCAATCCAATATGAGAAGAAGAGAAGATCACCGAAGCTTCTAGGTGAAGTGAAAAAGAAATGTGAAAGCAAATAATTAAAATTAAATGATGAGAAGAATCCAAGAAGCTATGAAGTGGCAATGTGGCATGCTTTACACCATCAACCGCACGTGAAGATTAAAAAGAAAGGATGAATCATGTTCTTGGCTTAACAGTCACAAAAAACATTTGATCATCTTAGATTATCCTATATACTTATTTTTTCTTTATTATAGCTAATAAATACAAAATTGAAAAAAAAATAAAATAAAAATTAAAAAGTCAACTTATTAAATTATAATTCAACCCATGCTACATAATGCATACCTCTTGAGTGCTTATAAGAGGTAGGTCAAAAATTGGTACACCTATTTGTCTTGAGCCCTTGCCTTACACTATTGTCTTGTTTATGTAGTACAGTAGTTGATTTTTGGTTCAATAGCAAAGATCAATTTTGTGACATTTAATTATGCTTTTTAATATGATGTAATTAAGAAATTGTGATAATTGTATCTCAGTTGTTGCGTTGATGAGAATGAATCATTAATTAAAATTTCTTGCTTTGTCCAATAGCTACAATGGATGGAGTAGCAACTAGCAAAGAATTAATGGACAAAATTTGAATATCCATTATGGATATGAATCACATCCACTAGGAAAGAAATTAATTCATTTCATAATACCAATGAGGCTTTCTTATAATCATAAAATTATTATATATAATAATAAATAAATAAATAAAAAATAACCTTTTATCCTTGTAAATGAAAAATTATTCTTTTTCTATATCTATGTGAGACACTCTCATATACCATATATCACGGAACACCAGATTGAAGAATGTCAACATTGACCGAAGATAAAACTTGAACTAATAATTTTTTTTGGTTAATAGGAAGACTACAATACATATTAGACTAGACCCCAAGTTTTTATTATCCATATGCCACTCGACCCACCGTACCCGTACAATATTACCATTAATTGGCATTTACATATCTTTGTATGTAACTTCGAATAGTTATTCACTTATTCTACATACTCATTTTGTCACAATCACATGCAAAATAGTTTGTACACTCTTTTATGAGTTTATCTATCTCAAATTAGTTTATACAGTTCTATATCAAAAAATACCTCATTATTATGAACCGATAATACATTATTTTTTTCTCACTGTAGAAACTCTCTCATATTATGATTTTTCAAAAATTATGTACAAACTCTCTCAATTATGTTTTTTTCAAGAGCCATTTACTTTTTCAATAGAATAAACAATTGGTTTTAAAACAACTTTTTACCAAAATCTATATCAACTACGAAGTATATGTTATACTCGCAAATATACTTATATACAGATATACTTCGTATACAAGAATTTAAGACTATAGTGAGATGGAGGGAATAACATTTATAACCCTGAACCTACTCATTTGCACTTATCAAGGTCTACAACTCTCCTTGGGTAGATGGTAATAAGATTAAGAAATATAAAGTCTACGGTGCATACACTAATACTAGGACAGCAACGTACCAACTAATCCATTTACAACTTAGCAACTTTTTATTTATTTATCATAATTTGTAGGAGGCATCTATTGTACTGTGTCATACAACACATTTTTTTTTTTTTCCAAGTCGACCATTTATCTTTTGATTAGTCGAATAGTTAAAAGTCCTCCCTTCAATTTCACATAGTAATTAAAAGCAAATTGAATAAGGCTAAATCTACTTGCATACCACATATACCTGAAATTTCATACTAGTAAATGACG